TAGGATGGGGACTGATCAGGTCCTGACAGCTTTTCAAACTCCAGATTATAGGCTTGAATTTATCATAGATACTTTTTTTAGACCACATAAAAAACATGTCAGCAGTAATCACTCTACAGATGTCTCATAGTTACTGTAATATTTTCTGCTTATGGTCACCATTCCTCAAATTGAAAACACTAAGGGACAGGTTAAGTAGTTTGTCCCCAGTGTGAAACCTGTGTCAGGAGGAAGCCAGGTCTCTGTGTTTCCAGTATCTATGCTCTCCATTGGTCACAGTGCCTCACATTCACTATAGCATGTCTGCACTTCTGTTAATTAGATAAAGCCTACTAAGGGGTGTGCTATAAGTACATCACTTTAGAAAAAGTAATTACAAGAACAAGTTGATTGATGCACGTGAGAATTAATACCATCTGTTCTAATGCTAGCCATATTTAAAATTTTATGATAGAGTAACAATACATAGATGTGGTTTTAGATTTAGGTGTTTAGATTTTATATTTTCTGCAGCTTTTATCTGGAATATCAGGTTGGTCTGAAAGTATTAAAAGTCTGTATTTGAAATAATACTATACTTATTATTGTTAGTAAGCACTTTTTTTTTTTAAGGAAATATAGCATTTTTTCCTTCATGGTATAGTATACTATATAAATGTTACATTCTTTGAGGGAAGAAGCAGTGACAGGTAGGTTCATATGTGGGGAACACACAAAAATAAAATACCTTCATGCCTATCCTGATGTCTAATTTTCAGGTCTAGAAGCATTCTATTTATTTTGAGACCTCCCACAGACACTCTTTATGCCGAGCCTCCTGTCTGTTATCTCATTCTGCTCCACAGAATAATCACTGGGATTCCTTTTGACGCCTATCCTGGAATCCCTTTCCTCACTCTTTTGTGTATATATGCTTTCCATATCACATGTCTTTTCTTGTCTCATTTTTCTTTTCCAGTTTTGTAGACTGTCATCTCTTGTAGCCTCCTGAAAAGTACGTGTGGTCCTCTTTAAGGAGCCTCGAAGCCATTACTCCATCTCAACATGTATAAAAGCTGAAACATCACATCTCTATCATTGAGAAATGTGAGGTTATAGGTGCCCTCTTTTGGAGAAACAAATACATAATTATAGACCAAACCTACCAGAGAGAAATTTTGCTGAGAAGTGGTGTCAGGTGAGCATGAGCCTGAGCAGCATGACTCTGGTGGTTTATCATGGCTATCAACTTGACCCAATTGGACAGGACAGAGTATTGGCTATTGATGGAACTGTGAAATGTGGGCCCTTGTTGAAGGAAGTAGTGTATATTGTGGTGCTACCTCATGTTCTGGCTCCTTCCTGCTAATTCTCTCCTTCCTGTCTGTCATAATGAAGATGCTCTGCTACTCCATTCCTCCTGTTTTTCCAGCTATTTACTTGGTGACATCAATGAGAAAGTCCAACTAACACAATGCAGAGTGAAACAACCAACTCTAGCCCAACTCCTGTAGCTCTGAGCACTCCACTGATGAGTGCACAGTCCAGAGGTTCAGTCTTGTGGAAGGATGGAGGTCTCATCATAAACCACAGATATGCTTGCTCATCTCTCCATAACTATAACATATCCAAAGTCCTATTCATCTTTTACACAGTAACTATCGCTATCATGGAAGTATGAGTATACCTGGGAAGTTAGGAAATGGCAAAGATAGACAGGAAGTGTCACCAAATGTGACATGGCAAGTATTCAAGAATTACTCTACTGGGGACTAAAAATGTCTGTGATTAATAGGTGCATGATTCTAGTGGCCAAAGCAGAAAACAACAGGAACAAATAGGGAGAATGCTAGATGTGTTTGTGAGGGTTTCTTTCTGGGGAGTGGATTACTGAGGAGGGCCTGATGAACCAGTCTGCCTCCATCTTGGACTTAAAAGCCATCTTATGGTAAAGACAAACTAGGTTTGTTCTTGTTGATAATTAAATCTCTGTTTTTCAATAATTAAGTTAGCTCCACTTGGATCTATAGCCACAAATAATTCTGTATTATCTGCTTCTTTGTTTCAAGAGGTTGTTATGACTATCTTGTAACCTTTGTTTCAGAAGGTTATTATCACTAACTTGATTATGCTTATGTTCTGTTTCTGTGACCCCCACGTATTTGCCTGCTGATTTCCCATTTGGAAACCCTTTACTCCTAAGCAATAAAAACCTTATCTTTCCAGTGCTGATCTCTTGAACTCTGCCGTAGGGGGAGACAGCCTGAGTACACTAATAAAACTTGCTTTAATTAATTTGGCCATGATTTGGCTCAGTGGTCTTTCTCCACTGAGATTACAAGGCCAATCACGGGGCATGCTAGTCCATTTTCTGTTGTGACAAAATACATAATATTAGTAACAAAATACATAATATTAGTAACTTACCTGTAGCAAATATTTATCTCATGGTTTCATGGCTTTCAGTCTGTGGCCTCTTGCTCCTTTTACTCTGGGGTAATGGATAGGAGGTTAAATCTTCAGAACAAAGGGCAGAGGGAGCTGTTCACCTCATGGTATCTGAACATGAAGACAGAGAAGAAGCTACAGTTTCATATCTCCTTCAAAGATACACACCTTGCACTAGCAGTACAACCTAAAATTTCCACCAGTGTCACCACAGGGCTGGGATCAAGCTTTACACCCAGGTCTTACTTGTTCCCTCATTGTCTCTTCCTTTTGCATACGGATATGAGTGAGCCAGTACATTTGACCTTTTTCTCATAGGAAAGTGTAACTTTTCTGAGGTCAAGAGCTCCCTCCTCCGCCTGTGTGACCACACCTCTGGCAGACTGAAAAACAAAGCTTCCATTTGGTACTTCATTTGTCTTTCCTTTGCTCAAATATGTGTATCATAGCTGTAACTTTCCATGACTTAGTAAAAACAATCTACTCATTAATATTCTGAACAGCAGACATTCAGATTTTTTCACTGATTGCAGACTTCTGAACTCACTTTTAAAGAAGTTTTATTATTAAATGTCTTCAAACCCATTACTGATATGATATTAATCTGTATAGTGTGCTAAGTCCAGACTTGTGTGTGTGTGTGTGTGTGTGTGTGTGTGTATATATATATATATACATATATATATATATATGTCTGTTTTACACAGACTTACCTATGGCATTGCCAAGAGCATAGCATCCGGTTTGTTTCACACCACTGTGGGAGGTGGGCAGGAAGGAACGTATCTTATGGGCTTTTTTTCATTATGCATTTAGTGAGCACCAGCAAGGTTGGCTAGGGACTGTTCTTGTTTCTTTTTTGGTAGTGTGATGAGTCAGGGAAAAGTCAAGGGTTTTATTAGTCATGGTTTGAATTTAACCATGGATTAGCTCTTCCCTCTATAGACATGTGACATTCTACCAGATAATGTAAAAATGTAGAAAGTATAAAGCAGAGGTCTACCAACATTCACAATAATTTATCAAATATTTGGCTATTTTCTTCATTAATTTCAAAGCCTACTACAATGATGGTTTTGTAATCTTCCAGTATAATAAAATAACTAACTCTGGAATTTGTGCTGAAAAATTTATTCATTATTGTGTCTTGCTGCTATTCCCCTTACATGGTGGCTCAGTGGGTAAAGTGCTTGTCATAGAAACATAAGAATTCAAGTTTGGATCCCTAGTACCAACCTGTATCCCATGCATCCTCACACACAGATCCATCCTCACACATAGATGCATACATACACACGGGTGCACCCTCACAAGAAGATGCATCCCCACACATGGGTGCACCCTCACACACAGATCCATCCCCACACATAGGTGCATCCTCACACACAGATACATCCTCACACATAGATGTATAGATGCATCCTCAAACATATGTGCATCTGCACACATAGGTGCTCACACACACATAGGTATTTCCTACAATATGTGCCTCCTCACAGAGATATATCCTCACATGTAGGTGCATACTCACCATAAGTTCATCCCCACACATAGGTGCTTACATACACATAGATGCATAGCTTCATCCACACACATAGGTGCTTCCACACACATAGATGCATAGGTTCAACCTCACACATAGATGCATACACAAACAAGTGCACACACATACACATATATGCATAGGTGCATTGTCACACATAGACTTGTAAAATAAAAAGGCCTTGATGCTCTTACCTTGACAAGACTTTGCTTGATTAGAAGGTGTTACTAATCCTCCAGTTAATCTTCCAGCTGGAGGCCAGAGACCATTGTCTCTGATAGACCTTTCCGGATAACCTCACATAACAATCAGGTAATTTCCCAGTGAGTTTCCTGTAGATACACTTCCGGTGCTGCAGACAACATTATGTTGCCAATCCCTAAAGTCATCCTGCATCTGAGGACATGATTCATGTGTTACTTATCTTTATGTAGATGGCACATTATTCAGAGCTTCACTGAATTAATTGTATCGTTCCTTAGTGATTTTGATGTTTCCACTCTATATCAGTTATGTATGTTCTACTGTATCTGAGATTTTGCTTTTCTATATCATAAAACCATTTCTGTGTTCAAAAACAAAGATATGAATGTTTTAAGAATGATATATTGATATTCTAAACATTAAAATGAATAATAGCTGTGATGGCTTAATGTCATGTTATAAATGGAAGACTGCTATTTGGATTTTACAGATTTATGTTTGTTAAATGGAGATTTCTGACATGGTAATTCCTCAGCCCTACTTTCAAGTATGAGCAACAGAAACCAACATTTTTATGGTCTGAGACACCCAGAGGAGCCTAAATCTTTGTGATGGTTTATAATTTCCCACTTGCTTATTTCATTTCATTTTTAGGGCACAGGAAAGATTATTCTACAACATAATCAGATAATTTGCTAATTCTCTGAGTGCTTCCTTTTTTATATTTAGTTGTTATATTTAGTTGTTTTGTTTTGCTTTGTTTTTTACCAATTGTATTATAGTTTGTTAATTCCTCCATGTCTGCTTTTTTTTCCTTTGTCATCAGTGTAGTGACTATGACTTGGAATTTGGAACAGAGTGCTTGCAGTTGGCCCTAAAGTACTGTCACACAAAAGCAAAACTTTTAGAAGGGTCCTCCGACCTCTGGAAGGTAAGAGAGATTCATCTTGTGGGGTTCCTTTGCTGTAGACCTGTGTGCATGCATGGGCTGCATGCCTGCCTCTGTGTGTGTGTGTGTGTGTGTGTGTATGTATGTGTGTGTGTGTGTTGTGCTTATAGTCATAAGAAAATGAACTCATATGTCAGAAAGTCTCACTGGGGGTTGTGAGCATCATCAGTTGAGGATGTTTCTGTTTCTTGGCTTCCAGAACATTTACCTTGGACTCTTTAAACATATTTTATATCAGTTTGTTTACTTGCATCTTTTTCCTTGTGCTCTGTGCAGTCTTGAATCGTGCTTCCTCAGTGTTAAAGCACCATTCTGTTGCCTATTCCAGCAGCATTTTCCTCAGCCCTGGGCTTCTAGTTCCAGTTAAACCAAGTAGAAAGCATGTATACTACAGCTTTGACCCGTGATGTAGCTGGACCCAATACTGGTCCCTCTGACATGTCTTTTCATGGCGTGTGCCTTTCTTTTGGATTGTGGAGACAAGCTGTAGCACCATCCCTCTCTAGTCTGGTGCTGTACAGCATGCCTGCCTTTCCTTCATCAGGGGAGAAGTGTGTTGAACTAGAACAGTACTGAAGCAGTGCTTCAGGCCAAGCCTCTGAAGTTTAAAGTAGGCGTGGCTGCTCAAATGCGCTTTGGAATCTTGAAATATCTATGGAATTCTGGAGAGTTCTGAATCCCAGCTAACTAGGTAGCCCTGGCTCTACTAGAACTCATTATGTACATCAGGCTCTCAGAGACTTGCCTTCCTCTCTCTGTCTTTGAGTTCTGGGATTAAAGGAATTTGTCACCTTGCCTTGCCACAGTGAGTAGGCATGTTTTACAGAAATACATGGATCTTGCTACATGCTAAGATTGCCTCAGACAGGAAAGATTGAGTTCTAGAATTCCAGAAAGAGCAACATGCTTGGGCAGTTGCACAGCTGAATTTTATCAGCCCAGTAGGAAAACACTCAATTCATCTTTGTCTCTCCAGGTGTCCTCTGTGCTTCCCTCAATATGCACTTAGTAACCACTTCTGAGGAGGTCTAGGGATGTGTTTGAGATCTTACCTCTGTGGTAAAATGGGTAGTCATCAGAGTTTAACTGTATTTGCTGTCTTTACATTTCACAAGCTATAATGTATTTGTAAGGTTGGTGCTATTAGCATGCTACTGAGGGAGGCATGGGAGTAACTAAGTAACTATACTAGTGTTATGTTAAATCCAGCCAGATTCCCTCTCACATTAGCATCAGACACCCTACTGAGTCATTGTGAGTCCCTAGCTGACACACTTCTAGGTGCCTCAATCTCTCTCTTTGGAAGCAAGTTTGCATCAAAGGAGTTTTGATGATCCTGCTCCACACCCCAATCCCCATCCTTTGTCCTGTGAATCGGAAGTGTTTGGCTCCAAGTTTGTACTCAGAAATGTATAAGAAGAGACCCTGACTTCTTCCATGTGAGCTCCCCACCCATTCTGTCTATCTCTTATGCTGGAACCCTGAACTCTCCTCTAAGAACTGGCCATGCTGTTGTCTATCTGTTTATCTGTTCATCCCATTGGTAACTTTTCTAACAAATTCCTCATTCCCTGGTAAACTATTTTTGAACCCCTTTGAATTGTCATCAGAACCCTTTCAGTAACTATGAGGATTTTGTCAGTCATGAGTTAGGTGTTTTGTTAAGGATCTTGATCTCTACCTTTGTATAATTCATTCTACTATCCTCACCGAGCCTGAGGCCACAGGGAACAATACAGTTGAATTCCAGGGCCTTGACAGAACTCCCTGGATTCATTTTTGACCTCTTTTGAAGGTGTGACTGTTTTCCTCCTGTCTAAGCTTTTATTAAGCTTGTTAAACACTTAAGTCTGGGGATAAAAGATAAGAGACAAATTGAGCTTTATTTTTTCACCCCATCTTCAAATTTATTCTTTTATTGTGATATATTTATATTTCATTTTTATTCATAACAACAATGGTGTTTGTCTTCCTTTGGATGTGTTCTGTTGGCCTTTCTCTCTTGCTTTTCCTAGGTCCACTGGTGAGTCACTGTGCATATTTTATGAGTTGAATTCTCTCACACAAATGTGTGTTCACCTAAGTGCTGGCATCTGTGTCTTACATAGTTGGGAGGAGTCTGCAAATGCAATCAAATTATGAAAAGCTCAAACTGTCCTTGGGTAGGCTCTAAATCCAACATGACTGGTGTCCTTCTATGACAGGAGACATGGATATGAGTAGAATAGCATGTGATGACAAGTGCAGGGAATGAGGTGATGGATCTATAAACTAAAGGACACTTAAGTATTGCTATCATTCACTAGATGCTAGCAAGAGGCCTGGAAGGGATTCCTGCAAAACTCTCAGAGGGAAGTGGAACCTGCCCAACTTTGAACTGTAGACTTGTACCCCCCAGAAATGAGAGATTGGGTTCTTATTTTTTCAAGTCATACTATGTGCAGTGTTCTGTTGCAACATCCAAACATACACCTGGTGTAGGAGTGCCACAATCATCATTTCCCCAACAGGAAGAAGCTGGAGTCTCCCAGCTGTGAGTTTGGTGTGGCTAACAGTATGCACCAGAGAACTAAAACACCTGTAACAAACGGGCTGGGCAACATACCTATTCCATCACTGCTGAGCTTTTTCGGGACTACAGTTCTTCTAAATAAGGGGGAAATATTCAAACTGTAATATTACTATTGCTTCAGGCTGGGTATCCTTCTTATGTCCCATCTTGTCTTAGGCTGGGTTTCCTCCCTACATCCTGTCCTGTCTTCTCTTTTGCTATTATCTCAGCTTCTTAGCCCGTTTAGTCACAAATAAATACACCGAAACTATTCTTTCTCATGAATGACTGGCCTTAGCTTGGCTTGTTACTTGCCAGCGTTTCTTAAATTATCCTGTTTACCTTTTGCCTCTGGGCATTTATCATGTATCTTTTTCTATTTGTTTATACTTTTCTTTACTTCTTACCCTGTGGCTTACTGTGTAGGTGGGTGGCTGAGCCCTGATGTCCTCCGTTCCCTTTTTCCCTTCCTGATCTTCTCTTCCCAGATTTCTCCTCCCAATGTTTCTCTCTGCATGACTGCCCTGCTAATCCGTTCTCCTGCCTAGCTATTGGCAGTTCAGCTCTTTATTAAACCAATCAGGTATTTTAGGCAGACAAAGTTACACAGCTTCACAGAATTAAGTAATTGCAACATAAAAGAATGCCACACATCTTTGCATCATTAAACAAATGTTCCACAGAATTCACAAATGTAATAATAGTCCACATCAACAAAACATGTTTATGAAGCCTGACAGAATATCTCATGTATATAATCTCAGCTGAGGCAGGAGGACTGCCATGATTTTAAAGCCAGCCTGGGTTACATAATGAATTCCACACCAGCATGAGCTATAGAATATAATCCTATTTATGCAACAAATATAAGTAATTAGATGTGAATCATCTTAGTTTTGCTAAGATGCTAAAATTGTAATTGAACCCAGTATGTAGAACGTGATTCATAAGCCTGATACAGTGAAACACATATAGGTACATAACTGAGGAACATTTTACTGCCATATAACAGCCTGTTAGAATTGGACTTTGAAATAGGCAACAGTCTACCCTTTCTTGCTTTGGGAAGTCAGGAAATTCATGCTCTGGTGATGTGCAGGGTAACAAGATTCCTGATCACAGCCTATATGATCTTTGAAAACCATCTGAAATTCCATGAGAAAGTTATTATTTTAAAATTGACATATATATTTTGATATAAGTAAAGTGAAAAATTGAGACATTTTGGGGTTAATGCCCACTTGCCTCTGGTAGGTCCTTTGATGTCTGAGGAATGCATTCTTAATTTATTTCAAAAAATCCTTATCATGCATGGTAGAGAACACTCCCCTCATGACCAGGTTTTCTCTTCTTCCCCCCAAATGTCTAAGCATTGCAAAATCCTGCTCTGGCTCCTGAGACAGGGGTCCATGCTCATGGAACCCCTGAGTGGCTGTGAGTTGGTAGCTCCAGTGAGAATTTGTTTTGATGAGATTTGATCCTATTTAAGAACCTAAGTGAACATCTGTCCCATGTTTTCCCCCAGTATACTTTTAGACATTAGTAGGTCACACTTGTACCCTGCATACCCTGAGCTAAACAAACTTCTTGTTTCAAAATGTCAAAAATATCTCCAAGCCATAGATTTATTACCAGTTAATGGAGTAATGTAACAACGGCTTCATTGTCTTCAAATGCATCCCGAGAAGGAGGTTGAGAGTATTTGTGTCATCACAGCCTTACTGGGATGAATGACTAGAAGGTTCGTTTTCATAGGCACTAGCTCTTGCAAATCCCACTGTTTTGGCATCTTAGTTTAAAAAGAAAGAAGTGTGTCTATTGCACAGAGAGGACTGAGAGATGAGTGACCAGCTTCCCATCTGGACCAGATAGCCTCTCAGCCCTAAATCCTTGAGCAAAACCACTGGTCTTTCCCCCACTCATTTCAGCCACACTAGTAGGTCAGCAGGAAAGACTCCTGTAGGGAGGCTACACAAATCGCCCTGCTCCTCCCCCCTAAAACCAACCCATCCCTGGGACCACAGCCACCCCCTGGGACATAGACATTTACTGCACAGATAGGACTGAGAGAGGACTGAGATGATGCGATCAAGAGGCAAAGACACTGCCTGCACCAATAGGAAGAAGAGATAGGTAGATGTCAATGCAAGAATACATTTCAACAACGTAAGGAGCAATATGGGAAAACAAGAACCTAATGGTACTACATCAGGAAGACCTGAACATCCCAATGTATAAGAAGCGCAATAAAATGACCTTAAAAATAACTTTGTCAAGATGATGGAGGCCCTTAAAGAAGAAATGAAGAATTTTCTTAAAGAATTAGAGGAAAAGACAAACAAAAATTTGGAAAAGAAATGAATAAATCTCATTAAAAAAATAAAAGGCAAGAAAAGCAAGAAAGAACAATCAAACATGTCCAAGGCTCGAA